GTCAGTTACAGGCAACTGTCGAATACATTCAAAATTATCACAGAACCCTCTTAACAATTGAAGTGAGATAATCTCATTTTTCACTCTTTAGATGGTACTACACAACCTTTATTGATGCAGAAATCACGACATGTGGTCTATTCAACAGCATGCGTGTCAGGCATGATGGCGGACACAATTGGTTGAGGCTATACAACACAGAATAGGTGCAGTTCGAACTAATTCAGCATTCCCAGCTGAATCATACCTGGTACATCGTTGCAGAGGTTGATGTCAAACACATGAAATGCTTGTTTGGAGTTGAGATCACTTTTGATCTGACTGGAAAGAACGACAAACTAGTACTCTAGTTACCCTTTCAGCTGTTGCTTGCTGAGTAGTAACCTCGAACTTCTGAAAAGTCTGGCGGCACCTGAAGTCTCCACATTTCATGAGGTGCACATGGATGTGTGAAGAAGTTATAGAAATCCTAAGAAACATGAATGTATAAGGATTCAGTGGATTTAGAAATTCAAATCGAAGGGATGAATGAGCAGACTGGAAACAATTGTAAGTCATACCAATAGCAGCTTCCAAACATTGATTGTCATCTTAGCAAAGACTGCAATAGCCTACTTAAAACCTCCCTACTTGGCTAAAATGAGGGCAGATCACCTGACAGATATACTATTATTTCATCATAATGCATTCATACAATTCTGCTTTTGAAATTATTATGAATATTATGGTTTGAGATAGTTGGAGGCAATCAGCAGGAAGCCTTGGAGAGAGGATTCGGACTAGATTGCATTCATCAGCACGGCATATTAGCAGCCTTTAAGGAACTTGGGTTCCTTCTGAGATTCGAACTCACACCACTCAATGCTGCAACCAGAGACGTTAACACTGAGCCTCATGTGCTTCAACTGACAGTGGGTCTTCTTGGATTTCTTCACACTCTTCTTCACTTCTTTACTCAGTGCAGTGTACATTGAATGCAGTTTCTGCTTCTATCATCCACTTGTACATTGGTTCATCTTCCATTGCGCCTCCCTCCTTTGATCTCTTAATTTTCACATGACCGTTGAAGTCAATCTATGTTGCGCACTTCCTTTTTTCCAAAAAGAGTTATACACATTTCCTTGAACATTGTCTATAGATGCTTTCAACGTTTCTTTATGCAGATTTCCACAGTGATGGCACGTAGTGTCTCCAGCTTTGCTCTGATGAGATATGATGAGTAGATTACATATAGGGAAGGGTGTAAATCAAGCCTACAGATAGCGTGTCATCACATCGTATAGATAGAATGTGTGTAGTATATCTTCACAGGAGCACTCTCCCAATTCTCCGTGAGCACACAATCGTCTAAAGTGAATAAAACTTCAAAATGGAATTCAAGTTGTTTCCTGGCTCACCTGGTCAAATGGTGAATAGATGAATATTCTTGCGGGAAATTCCAAGTTGGTAATAAATTTCACCTAGACAGAGTATGTCAATACAACGTAACTTGTGAAATAATGCTTGATGTTGTCCCCTGAAGATTCAGATCGAATGTTCCATGGAAATTGATATGGAGGAGCAGGAAGCTGTCGAGTTCCTGTCTCAGTGCTGTGATCAGCGAACACCTATGATGTAAACTGCAGTGTACTGTATAAGATAATGAATTTAATGGGACATTCATGGTTTTTAGTCTATCTATCTAATCAAGATCATTAAGGTCCAAATCCCGACGGTGTGTTAGACTTAAAAAGATGGATTGACAGTCAAGAAATAGAGCACATGCATCACATTAACTATTGAGGAGAAGCAAATCTCAGAAGGCATAATAAGCAGCATATTTCACCGGATTAATATGGGAGAGCCCACGTTTCCGTCTCGTAGGACAAGTGACGGGCGAAATTCAAGATATATTGGAATGTCTGAATTAAGTTTGAGATTAAGACGTTTATCAGCGTAATAATATCAACATAGTTTGCTATTCAAAAATTAAATAATCCCTATTGAAAAAATTAGGAGCATATTAGTTAACGAATAGATTTTTTCAACGAAATTATCAACCTCTGTCAGTCTAATAACCGTGAACATGATTCTAAAATCATCCCTGGAATCTATGCTTACGTGTCGCACTTTCACCGTATTAAACGTTTAAAGACAGATGAGGCCTTGGTCTTTATTGTGTATACTAACCCTATAACTATACAACCCTTCCCAACACCTACACATCTTATTAATCACTCTATATGTGATATTATTTCTTTTATCACTCCAACACTCAACTATGGTTATAATCACAAACAGTGTAAAATGAAACAAAGAGAAGAGGCTTATTTCCCACCAGCGTTTATAAAAGCCAACACAATCTAATAGATGTTTAGTTTGTAATTCATATCATCCGTTATCTGTGAAAGCAGGTTTAGTTGAACGTCTAACAAGCTGAGCAATAGCACTAAAAAGTACAACTTAAAGCCTAAACGATGAATTGAAACAGATAGAAGAGCCGTTGGTGGTTAATTAATACACCACGTATGATTCCCAATAAAGTATTCAAACCTACAAACTCTTCCAGAAACAATCTCTGTGGGCGAAAAGACGCGTTGGACCCAACTAAACGAAATCACATAATTTATAAAATAACTTACTGTGACTGTCTGCTCAACAACATAGGTCAAACTAGTAGATCAGGAGTAGTCAGATTGCCTGTCAGAACATAAGAATTAGGCTAAAGACAGAATGACTGATCCCACGAAGATAAGTAATTTAGTGAAAAACTCAGCAATCGCAATGCCAGCATTGACACACAACCAAACGATAGCAGATGTGGGACAGAGTCAAGATTCTGAAATGTAATGTAGGTATGTGAGGAGAGAGAGACTGATCACTGAATCCTGAATCATCGATTCTACCTACACCCGACACATTGAATAAAACTGACTCAACGCAAATCCAGAGATATGGAAGATATTATTACCAGTCCAATGATACTAAATAATCTTAAAATCTTATTTCAATTCACATAAATTATGGCATTCTAACCAGTTTCTTATTTGGATGGATAATGAGAGTTGACTATTCACCTAAATCACAGAACTTCAGATGACTCATGTATCACTCAATGAAAGAATTACAGAGACAGTCAAATCAGTTGTACCATTATTTCAATATAGTATCCAATCCACAAAACACACGATAAAAAGATTTAATGTGTTTTGCACCATATTTAATCATAAACAGAGGGACATTGCTCCACGCTTAATACAATATGTTCAAAAATCAATTGTAGCTTTCTTTTAAGGTGATTAAAATGAAGACACTCAGTTTGTTTTTGTTCACTTCATCACTGTCGACTTATCCATAAGGCTCACGAAGCTCGTTAAAGTCAGTGAGTTTAAGCTCTGTAATTTTTAATTTACTCAATATGTTTGTCAATAAATATAAGTGGTTACATTAAATTCTGATTCTATGCGCGAATTCAAGAAATTTGTCGTCTCATAAACAGAAGATGCAAAGTCCAACAGTAGATATATTAAATTTGATAGCCACAACTGTATCTCACACAGGTGTTGAAGGCTACAGTCGTTGACTAAGTCCAAACACTGACGTTAATGAGATACCGAATTTCTGTTAATCTCTTGTCTATGTATTCCCAAAGTTTTTTGTTGGACATACAGTGCCATCAAGGTTTATAGTTCAACAATTCGTGAGTTGATTAAAATTCAGAAGATTATTTATGCCTGATATGAATTTGGTCGGTGTGGTTATGTTCTTTACGTTTAGTGGTTATATCGCTAATGCTTCACAGTTCATCAAAATAACATCTCCAGTCTAAAATTTCTAGGAGAAGTTACAGCTTGTGATAATACATTCCGGTCTTCTGAGAACAAAACCATCGTATTCCCATTATGCTAACAAGAACTTTGACAGAAAAAAATGAATATAGAATGAGAAATCAGGGGAATTCCCTTTAGGTATGGGCTGGCAAATGCTGAATATTTGATTTAGGTATTATTCTACCGAATATTGAAAAACTGGTTTCACCACATCTCAAACAACGTTAGGACTAGTACATGATAAATTATTTCAATTAACCCCAGCGTGTTAAAAAAATCAAAACAAGATTTTTCTGATTTATCTGCTGAAGAAGCTGTGGGTTACAGGTCGAAATGTTCAGAAAAATCTTGTTTTGATTTTCTTTACACGCTGGGGTTAATTGAAATAATTTAAAATGAATCAATCTGACTCGGTGCTCAAATTATTCCAGGAAGTTTAGACTGGTAATCTGATGAAATTAGAATTACTGGAGCAATTTAGAGATTGGGCATAGGCTAGGAGTAATTCCACGACTGCGTTACAAATTTCGAAACTTCTCCTATTAACCGTAAAGAAATTCGATGAATAAGAAGTAAATCCAGTAACGAATAATGTTTATGCAGCTAAGGACACGCATCCAATTAGTAATATACTTTTTAATGCGATAACAAAATATGATAAACAATCATCCTAGAATCAATTATTTAACAATCAATACTTCTTATCCAACTCTTGGAATTAATTACTTCCGTTTCCTGTTTGTATTTTAGATTAGTGATTGTTCTGCTCAGCTTGATACTTCTCTTCAAGTTCAGAAATAATTTCCTAGATACTTTGCTTCTGATAGGAATAATAGTAAGTTTCTGAAAAAAATTAGGATTATGAATTGACTTCATATACTCATGATCACTTCGTTTTTGATGGGTTATTCACTCAAAAATAGAATAATCAGTTTTGACGAAACAATAAGACGACATATGTTATGTGAAACGTTTGATTATTTTGAAGAAGAATAGAATTAATTTGGGTCAGAATGATTATCAGTTTAGATCACTGAAGAAGAAGAAAGAATAAGGAGAGGTTGGAGAGATTACTGTGTGAGATGAACCTAGGTCCTTAAACTGGATTACATAGACATGTAAAGAGTATTGTGAAATGGTCTTTTAACAGGTACGACATGTTTAAGCCTTTTTATTGGTGAGGTTTCATTGAATTTAAGTCAGGTTTAAAAGGTTACTAGGATCAAGTTTGTGACCTTTATCAGTGCTGCGTTGACCGATAGATGACATGGGAAATATATTTCCAGTACTACGTGAATTTATTTCTTCTCGCAGCGATTCGCAGATGTGTTCCGTTGACCTGTGCAATAGACGAAGACGAGTCCACTCTGTACACATGTTACTGAATGCATCTATAAATATAAATAAAGTTACATGCAACACCACCGTCACTATACTGTCAGGCTATACTGTAAAACAGAAGCTTCGTCACTCACACAAAGCGAAGCCAGAACAACAAATACACACATTATCTATCTGTCATAAAGGTGAAAATGAGGCCTTGAGGATGCATAAGTCCTTTTTGACTGTGGTCATTTAGTGCCAACCAGAGAGATTTAGAGCGATGTTTAGACTCACGCTGCATAGGACCAATGCTATGAAAAAAATATTCACACATTTGTGTTCACTAATTGGAATGGTTTGCTTTATTCTGCCAACAGATTTTACTATGGTCTATCATTATCTTATTCATGTGCTGCGATTTTAAACAAGGAAACTGGCATGATCTCTTGCTTTTCATGTTTCTGGAAGACGTGATAACAATCATCTTTCGCTTCTTTATCAAAAGATTTAAACAAAGAGTGATGATAGTCTTGCTGTCCTTGTCGACTGTGTGTGTGATAACTGGTGTAATCATGTTGTTCGAAGGGAAGGGTGGAGTAAGTGAATTGAAATGTCACATAGACCGTTTTATTTTGACATTTATTCCTCCAGTTACAAGAATTGTTTTGTTATGACTATTACTCACATTTCATTTGAATCACTTGCTAATCTCTGTATTCTTGAGATCAGCCATGCATACACTCAGAGGGAAGAACTTCGTTATTCGTACATTGTTCTCCTATCTGTAAGATGATTTGTAAATGTTTAGCGATGTGAATACATTCCATTGCTTACTGGAGAGAAATGTGAAGTGGAAATTCGAATGGGAAGGAACATTGTAGTACTTGCTTTTTTATTCACACCATAGGACGAGTTGTGTGGAGAGAATTAATTCTTGTAAATAAACATTTCGTCGTTACGTTCTATTTCATAACATTGAATTTTGTCACTTGATTACTGAGATTTATTGACTTCTTTTTATTTTCTTTAACTCCTGATGAAAAGTCGACATACGATTCACCTGGAAACTTTACAGCACCTCTTGAGTGAATTTGCCGGTGGTTTTCGGAACACTGCTGCAGCTCTGGTAAGTTCACACATTTTCTTCTAGCTTTTATGGAAATGAATTATTTCATGTCTGATTTGAGCTGAAAATTCATTTGAATATATACATAGTATATAAAAGAACAAAAATTCATGTTGATGAAGCTTCATAATATAGGCGAAGTTACCACAATGTCACGGATGATTTTATTCACAAATTTAAACAACGAAATGTTATCTATTCGGTGAATCAATAAACTGACAATAATGCTATTGAAAATCTGTACATTCCTGTTGTGATATTTGGTATTTCGTTTATCTCAGGTGGCTCTAGTTTTCGCCAGCTTGCTCAAATAGCTTCAGTATCACATGGTTCAACTGACTCGTATCATGCAATTTTCAGTGTAATTCACGTTTTGGTACAAGAGTACTCATTATACGTTGTATGGAGGAATGTGAAGTCATATGTTCAAATAATTAAAATAAATTGATGATTCTGCACTAGAACTTTCACTTTTATTTTTGAAAAACAATTTCTTCAGAATGTAATGGTTAGGCATTTTCATAAGTTTGATGATTTTCTCATTGAAGAGATCAGAGTTCTTGTTGCTCTTTTTGCTTAGTAGGTATCTATCCATACTGAGATAGAAAGCGCAGTATGCACATCCAGTTGAGGTGAAAATGTAGTGATGTCAAATTTAGGTAAAAATTCAAACACATTGAGATGATGTCCATTATAATTTTAAAATATTCCTGAAATTACCTAAGGTTAAATTTCTATAAAAATATTGATACAAATGGAAACACGAAGAGAAATCGGATGACATGAATGGATTCACGAACATCCAAGAACGAAAACTTTTTCATAACCATTAAGTACTCACTATATCATGTTAAAGAGTAGGGTGGTTTTGATGAGGCATATTCTTCTGTGAAGAATACTAATTTCAATATTAACTTTGTGTAATTACAAACCACACATATGTGCAAATCAATCTCGTTAACTTTATTCAATTTTTCTACTCGTAGACTTTGCATTTTCTCTCCATTAGGTGAATGAATTTTTGAATTCATGTTTAGAATTAAAAGTCATAAAAGAGAACTAACATCTACCGACAAAGAAACTGAATAAATTTAGGGTACAGAGTTCAAAACAGTTCTCAGTTTCGAACTTCACGAGAGTGACAAAGGACACATAAACTTAAACCATAAATTTTATTTTACACATCAAAAAAAAAATATTTCTACATTTATTCGAAGAGGTGCGTTACAAAGTCCCTTTATTCATTCAACAAAAATGTAACACAATATAAAATCTACAAGTCCAAAGTGATTTGTGAAATATTATTTTTGCAGTGAATTGCAACATTTGATCACAGGGAGCAATAAAAAGACAGTTGCGATTATGAGAATTTTCTATTCCACGAAGTCATCAATTGGGCTGTACATTCGTGTGCCTTTTTTAAATGGGTTGGGAAGTTCCACATTCATTTCCGGTTAAGGGTCAAATCACTAAATAAATTAAAATTAGGAATTAAAATGCTATAAAAAATAGGGAGAACCTATAAAACTCAAGCAAAGTAGCATCATGATTACTGAGAAGATTGACATATTGTACGATTGGGGGTTAGAAATGTAGAAATAACAAAAATTGACAGGATGTTTGAATGAAAAATCTAGTGGGATCATAACTAACATCACGAATATTTGTTCATGCAATTGGAGATTAAATATGTAGAAATAATAAAATGACTAAACACACAGGAAATTAGGATATGAAATTATGGTACTTTAAATAGAGGTTAGGAAGAGCTTAAAAATAACATAAATAAACAGGAAGCTTGTATAACAAAGGAAATAGGATGGTCATTACTAAAAGTGCTACCTGTTTATGATGGCCGTGATAGGGATAAGGGTTAGGCGTGTTTCTTTATGATAAATAATGTGCGTTTGAGCGTTTGGATGGCTTGTGTCGCGGCTAAGTCCAGATGTCTTGATATTACTCCCTTTGATAGTTTTGAACGACACTTGTATATGAAGGATTTTTCGAAAGCTGCTGAATATTCTGAGTTGATCACATGTTCTGTATTTGAACAATATACACATTTTCTCTCTTCTGGTCATGAAATCATATGAAAGTGCAGAACATTTCAAATCAACTATTTGAAATTGCTGCCTCGACTTTATCAACATAAACTTAGTCTTCTTAATATGCTCTGAAAAGAACACCGAAAGCAACTCAAAGAATTGAAATCAAATGAAAACCTGATAATAACTTGGCCAGAGAAAGGCTTACGAATTATTCTGTTCAACAAGTCAGATTATGTGAAGAAGTACCCGCTAAATGTATCTGATGAAAACAAATTTTAAAAACAGACGATCCAAAAAGATTCAACTCAGCAAACGTAACTACAGCTAACGAAATTATTGATAAATATTAAAGATGAATCAATTAATACTACAAAATTATATGAACCATTTCGCTCACCAGAGTCTACAACATCACGAATGTACAGACTACCCGAAATGCATAAAAAGGTCGTCTCACTCAGCCCAATATTAGATATGAATAATTTGGCATATCACCTAGTCGCAAAGTGGCTCGTATAAATTCTTGAACCAGTGAAAGTAAAGCCGTTGGGATACAACCTCCGGTACACATTCGAATTTGTGGTTTCAATTAAAAATGTCAACTTCGCAGGTAATATAATGGTCTTCCAAGACGTCGTCACTCTATTCACCAGTGTTCATTTACGATGAGAACCTGCACCTTGATGACGTACTTCAAATCTCCAACAATGCCCAACAAATCATTGACTTCACCCTTGAGGCTAAATACAACGGTATCTCCCACTTCTTCGATGTCAATCTGAGTAGCAATTTCGACAACCCTCTGAATACGTCCGTGCACAAAAATGTCTACTTAGAATGGGCAATTCATCAACACTCAGTGCTTCCTGTCCCTAAGTAGAAAGAGGAAGCTTGAATACGCTCTGTCCACGAAGATTCGGAAGATATATAGTAAGAACATGATTGACGAAGAACTGTTTAAACTCCTAAGAATTTTGATGAAAACGGTTATCCACCTGGGTTCATATATAAGAATCTGAAATCAAAGAAGACTTCAAAACAAGTCCAATCAGTCCTCAAGAAGATATTCCTGATTAGGCTAGAATTCAAAGGTGATAATCAAGTTGAAATCCTGCGTTAACTCTTCTGCAAATCTCTGAAGAAAACTTACTTCGCCACGAGCCAAATGACTGACGTTTTCCTACAAAAAACTATTTAGCCAGAACGCAAAAGACAAGCCGCCACATTCAGCTATTTGAAAGTGCACATATCAGTTTACCTGCTCGTGCGGAACTGAGTACATCGGTCGTACCATGCACCAACTTGAAAAACGCGCTCGTAAACACTATCCAACACTATTTCTTAATTATTCTGTAGAATATTTTGGCACCTTACCACATTGTACAACCATCGATTTCATAATAAATGGCAATTCATTTTTATTTCACCCGTCATGATAAAAGACTCCGGATAACTGCATCACATCCAGTAACTAACAGAAACCTTCACTGATTGGTTGAATATAGAATTCAGAGTTTTCGACAGCAGACACTTCTTAATCTGAATATATTTAATGTGGCACAGTATATCAGGAGACAAGGCTAAAACGGTTGCTGTTACGCATCATTCAATTTTCTGTTTTGCATATAGGTAATTAACAGATTTTTAGCATCAATCACGAGCTCATTTCCAAATTGATCGCTTATCATTATCATTGTTCCCATGGATTCCAAGTTAATCATAGGTTTTCAGCAACTCGTCACCATTTTCTTCTATTTTCTGCCATCATCTTCAGATGGGTCAGCGATTGCCAAGAACTTCTCATCTCTCCCTATGCTATCTTATCCATGTAACCCTAGGACTACCCACTCGTCGCTTTCCATCTGGATACCATTCGAGGGCTTAGCGCGCGATGTCATTCTACGACCTCTACGATGTGTGCCTGTTGAATCATCATTTTCTCCTAAATATTTGTTGAGCAATCAGCTCTTGGTTTTTCCACTGCAGAGTTTCTTGCTACAGATTCTTTCTGACCATTTTCTTTTCAGTGTGGAGCCAGTGAAGGCAGATGTCGATCATAGTCTGCTATCTTTTGGACACGCAGTGCAAGTTTCTGATTCAGGTAGAAAGATCAACT